CAGGGTAGTATGGGGGTTGGGGTACAGGTGGGGGGATAAGGGGAGCATGGAGGGGTTGGGGGGAGGTTTGGGGGGTTCAGGGGAGCACAGTGGGGTTGGAGGTGTGTGTTGGGGGGGTCAGGGTACTGTGGTGAGTTTGGGGGGGCAGGTGGGGAGGTAAGTGAGCATGGGGTAGTTGAGGGGCAGGATGGGGGGATCAGGGGACATCAGTGGGGCTGGGGAGCAGGTTGGGTGTGTCAGGGGAGCACTGTGGGGTTGGGGGGTTCAGGGGAGCACTGTGGGGTTGGGACCAGGTTGGGTGTGTCAGGGGAGGATGGTGGGGTTGGGGGGCAGGTTGGGGGGTTCAGGGAAGCACTGTGGGTTTGGGGAGCATGTTGGGTGTGTCAGGGGAGCAGAGTGGGGTTGGGGAGCAGGTTGGGGGGTTCAAGGGAGCACTGTGGGGTTGGGGGGCAGGTGGGGGGGTTCAGGGGAGCATGATGGGGTTGGCTCAGGTTGTCACGGTGGGGTTGGGTGTTGGGGTCTCCGGTGAAGGCTGTGAATGCCGGGTTTGGGGGGGACCCTAGAGCTTTGGGGGGGGGGTTTCGGTGGGGCTGCAGCCCTGGGGGGAGGGGGGGGGGGGGCGGGGGGGAAGCTGTGCAGCCACGTGGGGCGGCAGGACCCGGCTCCTCTGCCCCAGCACCTGCAGGTGCCACAGCACCCGCCGCCCACGGCTTCCCGTCCCCGCCGCGGGGGTCACCTCCCACCTCCCTGTCCCTCGTCCCCTGTCCCCGCTGCCCTTTGCCCCAGGCCCTTCCCAGCTCCGGGAAGGCCGGGGCCTCGTGCCAGGCACAGGGAGGTGACCCCTGCCCTCGCCCTCAGGCTGGCCCTCGGTGGCACCCACTGCTGCTGGCGCTGGCGGGGCCGGTGGCCGCCGGGGACCCCGCGGGGGCCCGCAGCGACCGGGCGGTGGGCGCCCTGGTGGGGGTCCTGCTGTGCCTGGCGCTGTGCCTGGCGCTGGCCTGGCACCACCTGTGCCGCCTCTCGGCCGGCCAGTACCACCCTTGGCCGCTGGGTCGCCGGGCCCTGGCGCTGCTGCGGGGACGGTGGCAGCGGCTGCGGGCGCTGGGGGACCCCGGCGAGGCACCCGGGGACAGCGACACGGAGGTGGCCGGGAGGGACGAGGACGAGGAGCTGATGCCCTGGAGCCTGGAGAGGAGGCCGGAGCGGGAGGAGGAGGAGGAGGAAGAGCGGGATGCGGCGAATGAAGAGGAGGATGAGCAGGAGGATGAGCAGGAGGCCGAGGCATCCCTGGCCTTGGAGGGTGGGGAGAGCCCCCCGAGCGGGGGGCAGGGGGCGGGGGGCAGCGCCGAGGCCTTGCTCAGTGACCTGCACCCCTTCTCGGGGACGGCGGCCTGGGAGGACGCGCGGCCAAACGTCACCGCATTGTGACGTCACCCCGTGACGTCACCCCGCGATGTCACCCCATGATGTCACCCCGTGTCGCCACTGCCGTGAGATGCCACCGCCCTGTGACGTCGCCACCCTGTGATGTTGCCACCCTGCCGAGTCAGCACCGCCCCGTGACGTCACCACCCTGCGACATCACATCCTTGTCCTGCGATGTCATCACCCTCTGACGTCACCTCGTCACCCCTCCAAAGTGATGTCACCGCCCTGTGATGTCACGTCGTTCTGACACCCCTGTCCTGCAATGTCACCCCCCGCCCCCGGGATGTCACCTCCTCGCGATGTCACTGCCCTGGCAGCAGAGGGACCCCTCCTCTGCCCCCAGCAGAGGCTCCCGATTGGCTGCACAGGCCTGGGCACCGGCCAATAAAGAGCAGCTCTGCCCAGTTTTGGCTGCCCGGGTAAGCCTGGGAAATGGGTGTGGCACAAAAGGGGTGTGGCATCACACAGGGGGTGGAGCCTGGGCCCCACCCTGGCAGGGCAACCTTCCCCCCCCCCCCCCCCCCGCCATGGGCCCCCCCAGGCCCCCCATGGGCAGCACAGGGACCACCACGGCCTCAGCAAGTCCTTTAATTGGCACAGATCCAGCAGCGGGGCCACGCCCCCAAGGGCCACACCCCAAAAGGCCACGCCCCAAGGGCCACACCCCTGGGCGGGCCCCATGTGCCCCCCAGCCCGGCAGGCAGGGGGCTGTGCTGGATGGGGGGGGGTGAACCCCCCGGAGCAACAGCAGCACCGTGGGGTCCCCCCCACCCCGTGGGGGGCACCGGGCCCCCCCCTCCCCCCCCCCCCCCCCCCCACCCCTACCTGGGCACCCGGCCCCGGCCCCCCTTCTGCTTCTTGGCCCCCCCGGAGGGCTTGATGGGCAGGGGGGCCGTGCCCTCGGGCGGGGGGGCCTGGGGGGGTCCCAGCTCCATGGGGTCCCCCGAGGCCACCGGCTTGAATGCCTCGAACGGGGAGAATTTCACAGGGCTGGGGGGGGACACGGTGGGTGGTGAGAGGGGCACCCACGGGGGGCACAGCCAGTGCCCCTCCCCAGCCCCGAGGGCATCAAGCCCCCCTCATACTCCATGAACCTTGCCACTGGACCCCCACCCACTCTCTTTCCCCCTTGGTGCCCACACTGATGCCCCCACCCCAAAACACCCCGTAGCCCCACCCCACCATCTCCCCAGTCCCCCCTCGTGCCCCCAGGATGGGGCGGGTACCTGATGGGGATGCTGAGCCCCCCCACAGCCTCTATGCACCCCCCCACTGCAGCCCCAGCACTGCCTCCTGTCCACCCCTTGGTTCCCACCCTGATGCCCCCATCCCCAGCCCCCCCATCCCCCCCATTCTCCCCCCGAGCCCTCCCTGCCCCCCCAGTACCTGACGGGGGTGCGGGGGCTGCTGTTGAGGCGTCGGGGCGAGCGCACCTTGGGCTGGAAGGAGAACCCCTCCTTGATGCTCTCCAGCACCGAGGGGGCCACGTAGGTGAAGCCCTGCGGGTTTTAGGGGTGTCAGCGGGGGGTCTGGGGGTGCTGGGGGTGCCCCTGCCCCCCCAGGCTGTGCCCCCCCCCTTACCAGGAAGGCCTGGTTGGCACTTTCACTGATGGCAGCGTCGTCGGGGCTGTCGACGGGGGTCTGGCGGGTGAAGCGGGTGTCGAACTGGCTCACATCCTCCTCTGACTGCTGTGGGGACACGGTGGGTGCTCCCATGGGAGCCCCCCAAAACACTCCCTCCCCCCCCCCCCTCTGCCCGCCCTCCGTACCAGGCAGGGTTTGAAGGGGGGGTCCAGCCTGCGCGCCAGCAGGTCCTCCCAGTTGATGTGGCGGAAGAAGGGTTGCTTCTGTGGGACTGGGGGGTGTCAGGCAGGACTGGGGGGGGGGGGTCACACCCGACCCCCCCACCCACCCCCTGCCCGCCCCTGTACCTGCACGTCGGCCGCATCCCCCGGGCCACCCCCCACCCGCTGGCTGGGGTTTCGCTTGAGGAACTGGAAGAGAAATAGGGATGGAAGAGAAACAGGGGCTGGAGAGGGGAATGGGGGAGGTGTTTTGGTGGAATCTGCTCAAATAAAGGGTGGGAGGAGGCGAGGGTCGGTTTGGGGGGGGCACCTTCTTGAGGAGGTCGCGGGCGTCGGGGGTCAGGTAGGGCGGCAGCACCAGTTTGCCCTTGAGGATCTTGTCGATGGTCTTCTTGCGGTTCTCGGCGGTGAACGGGGGCTGAGAGAGGCACCACGTGGTGAGGGAAAGCCAGGGGGGTGAGGAAGGCTCAGGGTCACCCGGGTGGGGACCCTCCACCCACCCCCAGGACCCCCCAAGCCACCTCCGGGACCCCTCACCCAATGACCCCCAGGCAGGAAGGAGCAGGAGTGGGACTTGCTGATCCCGTGAGTATCAGGGAGCCCTGGCTCCTCCTGGCAGGGAGCCCTCTCCAGGACCCCCACCCACCTTCAGGACCCCCCCCCCTTCCACCTGTCAGACCCCCCCAGGCCCCCGGGGAGGAAGGAGCAGGAGCGGGACTTGCCGATCCGGTGAGCATGTCGTACATCAGGGCTCCCAGGCTCCACCAGTCCACCGCCCGGTTGTGCCCGCTCCTCACCAGGATCTCGGGGGCCCTGCCAGGAGCAGGGGGGGTCCCTGAGCGCGCGGGGGGCCACGGCAGACACCCCCCCGCGCCCCCCCAAGTGCTGCATCCCCCTCACATGTACTCGATGGTGCCGCAGAAGGTGTGGGTGACGGCTCCGTCGTGGATCGACTCCTTGCACAGCCCAAAATCCGTAAGTTTGATGTGTCCTGAGGGAGATGAGGGGGGGAAGTCAGTCAGCACCATCCCTGGAGAACCCCCAAGCCCCCTAGACCCCCCCCAGCCCACCTTGGCTGTTGAGCATGATGTTCTCCGGCTTGAGATCCCGGTAGATGATCCCGTGGGAGTGCAGGTGACCCAGAGCCAGCGTGATCTCACTCAGGTAGAAACTGGGGCGGGATGGGGGGGGCTGAGAGCGGTGTTGGGGTGCCCACTCCCCTCTCCATGCCCACCACTACCACCTCCCCGCCCCTACCAGGCCGTGTCCTCCAGGAAGATTCCCTCCCGCTCCAGCTGCATGAAGAGCTCTCCACCTGCAAACAGAGCCCGAGTTGGACCCCCTGAGCCATCCCTGGAAACCTTTTAGCCATCCCTGGGACCCCCTGAGCCATCCCTGG